GTTGCGTCACACCTCAACCCGCCTCAAAGCCAACGCTGATTGGACGTTCGTTTGGTGAACGGCTCCAAATTTTCTTCAACAGAGAGTCTCCAGAGTGATCTGCGAGTGAAACCTTGAAAGCTCGCGAGATCAGGCTGGTCTCACGAGGCTATTAGTGTGCAGAGTCTGTGACATGATTTAGAGTTTTCTCAACAGTCATCAGTCTGATGGCGATGGGGAAGAAGCTGTTGCAGAACCTGCTGGACCTGCATTGAATGCTGGGAAGTATCTTCCCAGAGCGTAGCAGGGAGAACAGTCAATAAGTGTGGATATTTCCTTTGTGCAAAAGATGGGAAGATTTTTCTTCTCATTTCACAGCTGTCTAAAAACAGAAGGTATAATTGTCAAGATTTGGTTTTAAGGTTTTTGTTAGGACCCAAAAGCAGAAGCTGAGAGGCAGGGGTGAGATCTTGGAAGGTTTAATGAAAAAAATCAGGTAGCAAAAACAGAAATCCAAAAAACCAACATAAGAATTGAACACTAACCAGGACCATGGAAACATCAGGGGAAAAAGTCATGAGGAGCCAGGGTAGGATGAAATAAGATGAGGAACCAGCAAAGAGGGAGTGTATTATGGCTGACTAAACAAAGGTACAGTAGGATTAAGGAGCAGGTGTGAGCAGAGCTGGTGAGGAAGCCAAGGGAAAAGGGGCAAGGGGTCAACAGAGGACAGACAGAAAAACCTAAGCAACTTAAATGAATCCAGACACCAATAAAGCTAGAAAACAAGGAAAAACCTGGATGAACTTGAAACTGAAAACTTAGAGAAAAACAACAGAACCAAGATCGTTACAACAATATTATAGCTGGTCCAGTGCTGAAGCTTGAAGATGAATCACATCTTTGGAATTTAAAAGGTTTTTATTAGTTTTTTTAATGGGAGCTGTTAGAAATATTGTACTGTTGATTAAAAAGATGAAGGAAAAAGGAACAGGTGGGAATCTGTTGTTATTCAGCAACCAGAACTGGAATTGTTCTCTCCTTCAATTCCCTTTTAGAAAATGAACATTTTTGCATTTGATTCCACACAAGCATTTCCTCTAAACGCAGTCATGAACCGTAGACAGATTTGTTCTCCTGTTGGATCTTTCAGTATGACCACTGTCCAGCCCTTTAAGTGAGCATCTGTTTGAACGCTGCAGATCTCCGTGTAAAAGATGTTCACCATGTGTGGGTCACATGGTGAACAGGAAATTATGAACGTATTTGAACATTTTGTGATGTTACATCTACGTTAATGTGATAGATCAGCACAAAGTTGGGATTAACTATGAAGTGGAAGAAAATGTGCATGGATTTAAATATTTTTCTGTCCATTTTTAAACCAGCCCCACTCTGTCTGCTGTGCACCGTAAAAAAATGAAGTCTATATTCCTTGAAATAAATTCATAAAATACTTTAGCTTGATTTGAGTAAGACATTTCACCGATGGAATACAATGGTTCTCATTTAAAATAATCTCAGTTCAACTGCACAATATCTAATTATCTTCTTTGACTGGATGATCTGGTTGAACTGTAAAGTGCCTTGAGATGACATGTGTTGTGAATTGGAGCTATAGAAATAAACTGAGTTGAGTTGAATTGAAATTGAGGGCAAAAAGACTCAGTCCATTGTCAGATAATCTTATTTATCTGTTCAAATTAAGGGCAATTAAGCTTATTTTAAGAATTATTTTTTCAGTGTGTTCTCTAATGAGCCTTCACAGAGCAGCTGAGCTTGTAATATAAATAAGCATAAAATGTGACTCTTTCTGTAATAATTTTGCTTTCTTTGGTAAAAGGAAGCACTGGGCTTTATTTAGGGGCACTTGAGTACAGGGGGTACAGAAGCCTGCAGAGCATTTATTGTATTTGAAAGAAAATATTAAAAACTAATTGCTTTTTTAAAATCCTTCTGAATTAAGAACTGCTTTGTTTCATACCATGTCTGATACATACTTCTGCTTCCAGGGGAGTTTCGTAATTCCCAGTAAATCACATTGAAATGTAAATACAGTTAAAGCTTCCCACACTTTTATTCTGCACTTTTTAAATTCCCTTAGGATTCATCAAAGATGTTCTAAGCAAATTAGATGTACTTGAAGAGAATGAAATGATTTTGTTATATGGGTGGTTACTTTCCAAGAAAGAAAGCATATTATGGGCAGGGGAAGATCTGAAATAGGAAATGAAATAAGATATCTTCTGGCTGAGATGATGACTTAATCTGCTTATTATGAAACTAAGTCCCCTTTTTTTAATCCATTTATGTGTCTTTTTCCATCTTTAGTTGATATGAAAGAAAATATTACATGAATGAGGTTTTGTGGGTCGTTTGTCATTAGTATTGATTCTGTAAACACAGATATGATGTTTGTTTGAATTGTACACTGAGAGAAGTTCCAGTCAATAGAGGTTCACAGAGGCAGAACACAGGTCGATATCAGCTATGCTGTTAGCATAAAAGGAGCATGGGAACAATAGAACAGGTGGTTTCACTGAGGCAGCATTATCATTAGGTCTGACAGCCATGGCGTCAGATGTGGTTATCTAATATTCAATAACACATTTCTGCATAAACAACAAATGTCGGCCAAGAAAAGGTCTGTTAGAATCAACATGCACAGGATCAGACCGATTGTGATTTCAATTCTCCCCTTGTGTTGTGAGTTTGATTGAAAAACAGCATGTCTCCATCTCCTTCCCAGATGAGGAGACGGGGCTACAGGTGCATCAGGTAACTCGCCCCCCAGGCTTCAACGCCAACCGGCGCCGCAGCAGAGCCGTGCTCTATCAGCTGTCAGGACATCTGCAGAAACAGGACAAGAGCAAGCTCAAGATCAACAATGTGAGTTTCCCTGCGTCTGTACGACTGAATTTCAGCTGTCCTGCTGTAGGGAGAAAATAGAGCGGAGTCTTCTATCGACTGTTCTAAGGGTGGGAACTGATCAGAACAGTCAGTTTACACTGGGGGTAAAGCACGATGAAAAATGGAAGGATCCATGTTCGATCTTATCAGTGCTGAGCCCCTGAAAGAACACTGAAGAGAAAAAAAAACGTTCTTGTGTGCATCAGACATTTTCTTGTGCGCATCACTTAGTTTATAATGCACACCATATATTTTCTCATGCGCACCAGATACATTCTTGTTTGCACAAGTTTGTTTCTTATGCGCACCAATTACTATATCATGCGTACCAGCTACTTTCTCGTGTGCACCAGTTAGTTTCTTGTGCACGTCACTTAGTTTTTGTGAGCACCAGATACTTTCCCGTGCATACCAGACATTTTCTTGTGTACACCAGATACTTTCTGATGCGCACCAGCTACATTCTCATTCGCACCAGTTAGTTTCTTGTGCACACCAGATACCTTCCCGTGCACACCAGTTAGTTTCTTGTGTGTATCACTTACTTTCTTGTGCAATACTTTCTCATAAGCACAAGTTGGTCTCTTGTGCGCACCAGCTACTTTTTTGTGCGCACTAGCTACTTTCTCGTGCACACCAGCTACTTTCTCATGCGCACCAGCTAATTTCTCGTGCACACCAGCTAGTTTCTGGTGCACACCAATTAGTTTCCCGTCTGCATCACTTAGTTTCTAGTGCGCACCAGCTACTTTCTTGTGTTCACCAGTTAGTTTCTTGTGCACACCAGATACCTTCCCGTGCACACCAGTTTGTTTCTCGTGTGTATCACTTAGTTTCTTGTGCACACCAGAAACTTTCTCATACGCACAAGTTAGTCTGTTGTGCGCACCAGCTACTTTCTCGTGCACACCAGTTAGTTTCTTGTCTGCATCACTGAGTTCCTCGTGCACACCAGCTTCTTTCTTGTGCGCACCAGTTAGTTTCTTGTGCGCACCAGTTAGTTTCTTGTGCGCACCAGTTAGTTTCTCTTGTTCACCAGTTAGTTTCTCGTGCGCACCAGTTAGTTTCTCGTACGCACCAGTTAGTTTCTCTTGTTCACCAGTTAGTTTATCATGCGCACCAGTTAGTTTCTCATGCACACCAGATACTTTCTCGTGCGCACCAGTTAGTTTGTAGTGTTCACCAGTTAGTTTCTCATGCACACCAGTTAGTTTCTTGTCTGCATCACTTAGTTCTTCATGCTCCCCAGCTTCTTTCTTGTGTGCACCAGTTAGTTTCTTGTCTGCATCACTTAGTTCTTCATGCTCCCCAGCTTCTTTCTTGTGTGCACCAGTTAGTTTCTTGTGCACGTCACTTAGTTTTTGT